GTGTGCTGGGCAGTGTGCTGGTGTGCTGGGCAGTGTGCTGGTGTGCTGGGCAGTGTGCTGGTGTGCTGGGCAGTGTGCTGGGCAGTGTGCTGGTGTGCTGGGCAGTGTGCTGGTGTGCTGGGCAGTGTGCTGGTGTGCTGGGCAGTGTGCTGGGCACGCTTTGTTCTGAGCCAGCTCTGTTCCTGTCGTGCAGTCCGATGGCAGAGCTGCTCCGGGTGTAGCTTGTGGCCAGGCAGTGTGCTCTGTGCTGTCAGTGCAACAAACTGGCCTGTGCCACCTCCTCCCTTGCTGGCCCTGCAGGCAGCCTTGCCCCCAGGTCTGCTGGGCACCTTGCTGCTCTGTGATCACTTCTCTGCTCACCACACATCTGCAGTGAGCCTGGGAGACAAGGGCTGGGGTCAGAGTGTGTGTGAGCCTGAGCTGGGGGTGCCACTGAGCCGGGGTGGGTTGTGAGGGTGAGCCCAGTGTCACCCTTGCCATGTCCCAGTGATGTCCCACTGCATCCTGGCAGTGCCTGCAGCCTGCACGTGCTGGGTGCTGTGCCCTGACACTTCTAACCCCAATGTCACTGTCCCCTCAGTGCAATCCTTCTCCCAGGTGTTTCAGTCTCATTTATTGCAGCGACAAGAAGCAAAGATTGCATTGCTTGCTTCTGAAATGTATGACTTGGATTATTCTTGGATTATTTTCTGTTATATCCAGCAGAGCAGATAAGACTTGCTTCATGTTGTAGTACTTAAATTACTCCCTGAAATGTTGATGTTGAAGTATTTGTTTAAGGTTTTATCTGTATTAAGGTCTTACACTGTCTTGGCTCTTCTCTTGTAACAACTCTTGTAGCAAGAATGTAATTCCGGTGGCTTGTGCTGACTCGGGTTGGGATTTTTTAGTAGACAGAACTAGTTTCTGTGCTTTTTACCATGGACATTTGTGAAAGGTTATTTTTATCAATTGACATTTTCTTTTCATGCCATTGCTCACTGAAGGAGTTTGAACTGGAAGCTGGTGTGTGGGTTTTGAGCTGGTTTTGCTCCTGTGCTGGATGCCTGGGCTGAAGGGAATTTGAAGCCATGTCCAAACTGGCGTTTTCACTGAATGCCAGTTCAATGTTTGTATCTGGGGCAAGAGAATGGTCCTTGGAGCTCCCATTTGGACAGAAGGGGAATGGAGGTCTGGGTGTTCCAGCAGCTGATAAAAGCAGTTGAACCTCTGCAATCCCATGAGATGCAATCATGCTCTCTTTCCCCATAATTCCTGATGGGAATTACTGCCAGCTCCAGCACTATCTGTTCTTTGTATCCTGCCAAACTGGATTTCTCTGTCCCTCTAGAACAGCAGCTCTGGTGCACAGGCTCCTTACGAGTGGGCAGGAGGGGCTGCACTGACAGTGCCCTTGTCTCGGAGGGAGTGGGATGCTGCTCCTCTGGGGTGGGTTTTCTGCTCAGGAGGGCTTGACTTGCCTCAGGCTAAACAGTTTGACTTACAAGGGTGCACTGGAGTGTTCGTGGAATATAAGGCAGGCACTGGGCAAAATGTGTGAGGTGTGTGCCTGTGGTCCCTGGGAAGGGCAGTCCATGTTCCATGGTCTCTTTGTAACAGAGCACTTGGGAATGCAGCCACTTTTCACTCTGCACCTCTGCTTGTTGGTGTCACAGATCTTTGGTAGGAAATAAGCTTCCTTGCATGGGAGGGGGTTGAAGGGTGTGGGTCCAGGAAACACTGTTCACTGTGAGTGTCAATCCAAGCCTTGTTGCTGTTACAAGTCAAGGCTCCATCAGTGGTGTAAGGTAAATGTTTCTGAAACTAAATGTAGGTTATTGCAGGCCCTAATTCAAGGGATTTGGGGAAATGCCACATCAGTCTTCTCTCCTCGCTTTAAACCAGACTTTGCTTGGCCCTTTCAGGTGTAGGAATTCCTGTCCATGTGTATGGTTGTCCAGCTGTCAGCATGTGGCATGGTACCAGGGAACACTCCAGACAGAGATCTGCCAAGTCCTAGATGCCAACACCACAGCCATGCCTGGCTGGGGGTGGTGGGGTCTGGGACACCTGTGCCGAGGACCTGGGAGCAGAGGTGTCCAGGGCAGCCTCACACTGGTGGGAAATGCATGGGAAGAGGGAGGTTCAGCAGTGTCCCTGCTCCCAAACTGCTGGGTGAGCTCTAGGGCAGAACAGAGCAGCGTGTTTGCAGTCGGCTTTGGGTTGGACTCACCTGTGCCAGTGTGTGTGACTTGTGTTTCACCCCACGGCCCCAGTCTGCCACTTGCTCCTGCAATTGGCCCTCTGGGCACAGGAGAGCAGCGCCTTCATTCCAGTGCTCAAGTCCTACTGGAGTCACCTAGAGACTTTTTTTTACCCTTTTTGGGCTGTGTCTTTTGGATAGTGTTTAGTAGTATTCAAGTTACAAGCACATTTTCAATGACGTGTATTAAAGAGGCACCTTTTATTTGTATTAATCACATTTGATAGACAATTTGGTGCCTGCAGTTCTCTGTAACTTGTAAGTGTCTCACTTTGGGTGTATAAATTGTTAACCCTTTCAGACTTATCAAATACGGCTTAATAAAAACCAGATGCTTAGGATAGAAAGCAGCTTAACTGCACTTCTCCCACTGCAAGTGCCCTCATCCGCCGTCGCTGCAGGGGTTTGCTTTCCAAAGCCAAAACTTGAGCATGACTAACCATTTTTCTGGGTGCCAGGCAGCTTGCATGGCCGTGCTGTCCCCGATGCATGTCCCTACTAACTATGCAAAGCCTCCAGCCCAGCCCTGGCCGTGCTCAGCGTTGGAGCCGCTCCGGAGGCTCCGGAGCACCGCTTGGAGTCTGTGCCGCTGCCTCGTGGTGCAGCTGCTGCTGGCACACAGGAGCATGTCCCTGGGTTCCTGCTTCCTTTGCACATCTTTGACTCTTTCCTTTGCAGGATTCTGCATTACTGACAAGGCTGGAGCATAGCGTAAGGTCAGAGGGATCGGAGCGGGGAAACGACAACAACTGATTTCTGTTTTGTGTTGTTTTTTCTTTTCCTAGCAGGGCAGCCCTGGTCAGGGCTCTGTGTGTAGCCTGCCATTCCATGGGATGTAAGGGCACTGCCAGGGTGGGCAGGCAGCTGGGCGGGCACTCACAGAGCTGCTGTCCAGTGTCCCTGCGAGGGGAGCAGCTCCCAGGTGTTGGTGTGCTGCCCACGCTGCTCTCTGGGCTCTGCCTGCCTTCCCAGGAGAGCCCCAGCTGCCCGGGGGGGTGACTGGGCTTCCCCTTTGTGCTCCAGAACCCCGTGGTGGTGGGTTGGAGCCGTGTCCTGTTGGACAGCAGGTCCCACCAGGGTGGCTGTACTGCGAGGCTGGGGCAGCTGGTGAGGGCTTCTTGGTCCTTGGCCCCATGGGCCTGGTGCCCTGCCCTGGGTCAGCCAGCACAGAGGGGATTTGGAAATGACCTTCCAAATAATTGTACTGTTGGTTTGGTTTGTTTTTTCGTTTTGTTTTTTTTTTTTTTGTATCTTTGTCATTTGCATACTAATCCAAAAGAATTTGGCAGTATCTGATGTTACTTGTGGAGGGAACTGAAATTTAGTTTTAATCTGTGGTGAGATGAAAGTCCTACATGTTTTTCTCAACAAAAGCACCATAAAGCAGTTAGGAGCTTTATTTTGTAAAAGAAAAGCACCTGAAGACTTGTACAATGTCTGTTAGGTCTAAAGGCTTAGGGACTCTTCTATTTTTATAAAGGCGATAGCACTCAATTTATCTGCAAATAAGACACAGATTAAAACTAAGTGTAACTGGTCACTCGGCCCTGCAGCACATGGCCTCAGGCTCGTGTGGCATTTGTGAGTGCAATAAACCCCTTTGGAGGTGCTCTATTGCCTTGGGTAGGGTGACACAAGGGAATCCAGGCCACACGTGGTTCCATTATTGTCCCGTGGCCTTCCAGGTATGAATTTGTACAGATTTGCTCACCACCTGTGCCTCACCATTGGTTAAAATTGAATTTTAAGTCCTGTTGCAAATGCAGTTTTTCGTCTGGACACAATGTCAGATTTTACACTGGAATATCTACAGTTCTCAAACTGCATGTCACATCACTGTACCTGGTACAGGGACGTGGGGTTTGCCCACACCTTTGATATTCTCCTCTGTATTTTAATGTTTTTGACCTGTACAGTAATTGGAAAGCAGGCTGTCTTTACTTGGGGTTGAACATTGTACCATAAATTTTAAATTATTTGAGGACAAGTGCATGAGACTGTGTCAATGCCTTTTATTATTTATTTGTATGTTTTATTATTCAAGGTGTATGCACTTTTAATATGCAGAATTTATATTTTTATGTTAAAAATCGTTTTCTTTCAGAAAGAAGAGTTTGAATATGAGGAATTGGAACTAAGTGCAAAAAGGGGAATATGTAATAAAATACAATAAATTTATTACTAGGCATCCTGCCTGAGTGAGCGTTTGTCCAGGCTGCAGGCTCCAGCCTCGCCGTGTTCCGGGCTTTGCTCTGGGCACGGGATGGGGGCACGGCCTTGGAAACCTTCTGGGCTCCTTTGGGGAAGCCCAGGGGCCTGGTTTTGGGCACAGACCCGTGTGCTGGGGCGGGAGAGGCACGGGCTCCTGCCTTCCCCCACGTTGTCCCTGATGCTTCTCTCTCCGCAGACCATGGGCCCTGCGGCACTCGGCCACGGCCCCAGCGCGGCTGCGGGACCTGCACCAGGGCCTCTGTGCTGGTGAGTTGGGGCCAGGAGCCCTGGGGGCAGGGGGATGTGATCTGGCTCCTCTGTGGGGTTTGGGGTTCACACCTGCCCAGGCAGAGGTGGGGGTCTTCTCTGTCTGCCCTGTCGTGCCTCATGTCTGGGCTCAGCCCCCCACATGAAAGGGCTTGGGGGGCCTCCCACCACCGGAGCGGTCCCCTGCCACCCCCAGCCCCATCCCTGCTTGCTCCTGCCACCCACAGCAGGGAGACCAAGCTTCCAGGCAGGAGGGACCTTATGGACCCAAGCCCTGCAGCATTTGGGGCCAGGAGACCCCCAGCCAGACCCCCACACCTCCAGAAGCCCCTCAGGCTGCCCCTGCCCAAAGGCCTGTTCCCTTCTTGCTGTCACCAGACTCTGGAGGCTTGAAGCTCCTCCAGGTCTGTGCTAATTAAACTCTGTTTTTCCTTCAGCAGGGTGTGCAGTGGTGGCTCTGGACCCAGGGGAGCGTGTGGCTGCCAGATGGGAATATGTGGATGGGCTGCTCCTGCCACCTGCCCTGCGAGGATGAGGATGGAGCAAGGCAGGAGGAGGATGGGCTGCTGCTCCCAGCTGCTGAAGGGGAAACTTCTGTCCCTGGTGTGTCATCTGTGGGTGACCCCCTGGGCTGGGAGAGCTGCTCCAGCTGCCATGGCTGCAGGCACCATCCCTGTGGCTGCTGGGCTGCCCAGGCTCAGGCCAAATGGGGTGCAAAATGCTTTAGAGGTCCAGCGTGTCCTCTCGACTGAAGAACGGGGAAGAATGGAAGACAACGTGGTTGGAGCCCTCCGAGGGCATTTCCACTGCAGACTGTGATCCTGCTGCTCCACTGAGCCCTTGGATTGGTGCAGCAGGGGCTGGGTCAAGCTTCTCAAACTCACCTTTCAACACAATTTTTGATTCACGAGGGTTTTTTCCTCACTTCTCCTCCCTCCTCCATGCATGTTTTTGCATGGAGGGGACTGTTGGCACAGGTCAGCAGCATTGTTGGTGCATGCCCCATGCTCCTTCAGTGCTCACCGAGGTGGGAGTTGCCCGTGTATCCCCCTTGGTGCCCAAATCTCCAAATGGGCCGTCCTGATCTCCCCCTGCCTGGCTTTGGTTACAGAAATGCTGAGGGTGTGTTTGCCACCAGCTGTGCTGCATCACCCATTGCCCCCACGGGTCCCTGGGCACACATGGCCCCCGCCAGCCCCTGCCATGCAGCTTTGGTCTGTGTTTCTGTCCATCCTGCTGGGAAAGGCAAGCCAGAGCCAAGGCCCTGGGTGCTGAGCTGAGGAGCTGCTGGCTGTGCTGGGCAGTCACGCACACACCACGTACCAGAGGCATTGCTGCACTTCTTGTGCAGAAATGGGGATGGCAGATGTCGTATTAAATCATGGGGTCATCACTTATTTATAGGTGATTACATTAAAGAGAGATTAATATAGCCAAAGGCTTCGCAGAATTAATGTACTTGTGTTTATTATATTTGCCAACATTTCTCCAATCCAGCTGGGTTTTTCTGGCTGTGGGATTTGACAGAGAGCCTGCTGCTGTTCCCCGGCCTTGCTGGGAGGGAGCAAGAGGCCCATGGAAAACATGTGAGAACTTTGATCTTCGGGAGATTAATTTTATTGCCTCCCTGTTTCTGAGGGTCCGTGGCAGGTGCTTGGTGCACAGTGAGGACAGAGCAGGGCAGGACTCAGTGGGGGTAAAGCTGTGTCTGGAGGGGAGCCCAGGGCTGGGGCTCCCAGATGTCACTCCTGGGCTGGGATTATGCTGTGCTAAATTGGGATTAGATTACTGCAGATCTGGGCACGGATTTCTGACACCCTGGGGGAGAAGGGGGTGTCCCTGGGCACCACTGGTGGGGGTGTGCCAGGCGTTCCCTTGGCCCCTGTGCCCCAGGCTGCCAGCTCAGGGGGCATCAGTGGAGCCCCTCCGCCAATGGATGAACCAGAGGAGCCAAGAACACCCCAGGTTTGGCTGGAGGAGCAGAACCATGTGGGAATGGTCACTGGTTGTGCCAACCCAGGCCGAGGGTGCAGTGGAGGGTGGTGGGAGTCACTGCAGCTGCCTGGATGGATATTTATTAACAGCTGCCCCTGAGAGCCAGAACAAAACCCAATCTTTGGGAGACCATCAATAAATTGTAACACATTAGGCACTGTCACCCCTACCCCTGGACTCTTAAATTTTGCTCTAATTGGAGTATTGCTTTTCCTTCCTCAGCACTTTTTCCCCTCGGCTGGGTATCGATCCTGGCTCTGTGGGGATCTGACCAACTGTTGGCAATTTATGGGAACATAAAACTGGTCTGTCGTAGAGCAAAAACCCAGCTTTTAATAAGAAATGCTGACACCAGCCTCTGGCTGATTCCCAGGTATATTTACCAGTTTACAGTGGGTACCCAGGTGTGGGGCTCAGGGTGTGATGGGGGGAAGGGGACCATTAAAAGTCCCTCAGGCTGGGCCATATTGTGGGCAGGGGTGGCCTGAGTGGCTTCTGAAGGTGTGGGGGTCTCTTTTCTGGTCTCCTGTACCCTGTCCCGTGGTGGATGAGGGTCTGGCTGGTGGCCAGTGGGCAAGGCTGGCACTGGGGTTGGCAGGGGACTGCTGTGATGGAGGGCTCTGGTACTGGGCATCCCCCCAGCCCTTTCACATGTCCTTGCTCCAGCTCCCCCAGCCCCTTTGCTGCACTCCTCTGGTGATGGGTGTTGTGGCTTTGCAGGCCAAGGCTGGTTGTGGATTCCTGGACCTGTGGGTCATTGTCCTGCTCGTGTGTCCCTGCAGGTTTGGGATGTGGGGCTCCCGGGGAGCAGGTCCCTGGAGCAGGTGGCCCCTGTCCCTGTGCCAGCCCAGCCCCCCCTGCTCCCCCTGGGCTGGATGTGCTGTCTCTGTCACGCAGTGCCAGGGGTGTTGTGTTGGGTGTCTCGGTGCTGTAACAGCTGCTCTCCCTGCTGTTTGCTACCATCTAATTCTGGTTTTATTGAAATGAGCCTAAATTGTCTGGGAATCCATCAGCTCAGTGCCTCCCTGTGGCTCACACTCGGTGTGGATGTGAGCACCCCGCAGTCGGCAGCGCCTGTGCTCCCGTTTTTAATCTCGCAGAACTGGCTCCTTGGAGAAGGGGTGTGTTTCCTAATGGCCCTAACTAGTTCCCAGAGCTGGGATCAGACTGTCTCGGCAGTGGTAAGAGGGGCCAGGAGGGTTCCAGCGCTGCTGCACAGCTCTGTGTTCCAGGCTGTAAATAACTCCGTGTCTCTGGCGCTGCCCGGCTCCGCCGAGAATCCATTTGCTCCTTTAACAGGCAGACTGTGCACGTTGCAAAGCAATTCCTGGAGCCCCTGTGACAGTCTTTAAGCGTTTTAATACTTGGCGAATGATTTATCGTGGGTAACAAGCAGATGATAGACTGCACTTCAAGGTATGGATTATCTATTAGAATCCACGTTGAAGGTGTTTGTGCTGACAGGCTCCTGCCAAGCGAGGGAAATACCTCCAATCCTTGTGTTACGGGAGGAATCAGCAGCTCCTGCCACAGCTGGCAGATAACCCTCTGTTCTGTTTGCTCTTTGGTGACAGGCAGCACCGACCCTGCCCCTGCACGGCCGCTGGATCCATGAACCAGGGCTCCTGTCGTGCCTGCTTAGGGGGGACCTGGTGCTGGTTCCCCCTGGCACTGGGTGGGTACTTGGGCTGTGACATCTCCTCTCCAGAGTCCCCCTTGTCAGGGAGGGAGTGGAGCAGCTTCTTCACTGATTTGTGGAGTGATTTGTGTGGTGGGGCTGGTCGTGCTGGCCGTGCTGTGGGACCTACTGTGCTCCCCACCCCGCACATCCTGCTGTGCTCAGCGGGCCCAAGGGAGGTGCTGATGCAGGACACGAAGCTCTTGGCACTTCTCAGTGCCGGCTCTGACCCTCCTTCACACCTTTTGCAATTGGTGCTGCCTGTCCCAGCATGGCACAGCCAATCTCTGGGGCCAAGTGGGACCCTGTGGGCTCAGGGTGATGGGGACAGTGTCCCATGGGGACCCATCGCTCTGTTGTGGGGTGGGTGCTGCCGTGTTGCTGTGCTGGCTTCATTGCAGCTAGATTAATGCTGGTTATTGGGATTTTTTTCACCTGAGTGTTTCAGCTTCTGAAACCAGCTTCAGCCTGGATTTATTACCTGGCAAATAAATACAAGTGCAGGTTTATTTTGCCTCCTTGTTCATCGGAAAGGAATGAAAATGTAAGCAAAATATTAAAAATAAAATAGACTCAGTTTTACTTTAATTGACCTTTGATTTTTAACTTAATACCTTCCCATGTTGCTGCTTCAACCTTTAATTTCTCTCAGTGAAGTGGCTGTGTTCAATGATTCATTCTGTCCTGAGGCAAAGCACACACTGTAATTGGTTTTTAACTTCCTGGAATGTCAAAGCCAGGATTGAAATTTTACGTATCACACCAGCAATTCAATACTGGCTTTAATAATAATGTTGCAGAAAGGGAGGCAGATTTACAGCTGTAGAAAAATGTAATCAAATTTTGAGCCCGAATGCAGTAAGTCCAAATGCTAGTTTTCATTTAGAAGCTTGTTAGATAGATGTGGCATCACCTGAGTAGTTCCCAGCTCGTTTCTGCTGCTCTCTGCCACAACTGGGGGAGCCAGGGGAGGTGGGAGGGCTGGGAAAATGGGGGGAACTGGGGAACCTGGAAGGGCCAGGGAGGCTGCAGGGCCA